GAGAAACAAAGTCGCAATACCTCAAGGGTTGTTTGGATTAGTAATTTTGGTATGAGGGATTTATGAGTGATTTGATACAAATCTCTCACTTAAAAAACTAGATCGTTGAAAATTAGTTATTTTGATCAAATTACTTGTTTGTTTAGATTTGTGAGATTTGGATCTTAATTGTGTAAAGACAAATTTGCCCTACCTTCTTCCTCCTTCTTTGATGAGATCTTTCTACAGAGAAACTACGAGCAGCTCCAACACTGGCAATTCAAATTGAAAACACAGAATGACACATATTTGGTGTTATGAACTTAGGGACGGTTAATTCAACAAATCAGTTGGTCGGCGACCAACGCTTCCCCGACCAGATCTGCTGGTCAATGGGGACCATCATAAACCAAGAATCATTATTGACCATTTGCTCTAGTCTATGAGAAATTAACTCGGGACCCAAAATCGACCCAAGAAGAAGAAGAAGAAATGCAGCCTGCAACCCTGAACCCACCAACCTATCGACTCATCGACGAAACCTAGCAACCGGAGAAGAAAGCCTCCATCGGATTCACGACCAATAACCCACCAACCCCCCTGACGCTAACCGATGGAGGTGCTTCAATTGATGGATTTTACGAGGAAGTCATCTCCGTAGAAATATGACTCCATATCTTCCCTAAATCCGACTCCAGATTGGTCGGATTGAAGATTTGTAAATCTTTGGCATCTCGCCCATTTACGGTGGCGGCAAAGCGTGTTGTCAAATCGCCGAGAGATGGGGAGGTGGAGGAACGGAGCGGAGCAGAGGACATGGCTGCGGCGGCTAACCAAGAAGAAAAAACAGCGCCGACGGTGGGGTTTAAGAAGGAAGAAGGAAGAGGCTGGAGGAGGGGTTGATTTCAAAACCCTTTTGCTCATCGCCGAGGCAGGGGAAAGGAAGTCAAAGGATGGAAAAGGAAGAGGCCCGAAAGATTGATTTGGTGAGACACCGGCGAGGTCGAGGAGAGCAGGGAGAAGAGGAGGGCAAAGCGTTAGTGGTGATGAAGTGGAGGAGAGAAGGGGGCAAGGGTTGGACAAAGAAAATAAAAAATCAGAGATTTTGAAATAGTTGGGGGTTTATCAGCTATTTTGAAATTCCTAAATGACAGAATTTTGGAATTTCTAATAGTCAAAATCCCTAAAAATTTGGAAGCTTACCAAACGCAGCAATTTGATAAAATCCTAGAAGGGCAGGGATTGTGACAAAATCTGTCTCCCAATTTCCTAACCAAACGACCCCGAAAGAGAAAAAGGTAACATCCCTAAAACCAACCAATTGATAGTAGAACCGCAATCATCTTATCATGTCCATCAAATCATGCGCCATATTGAGCGAATAAAGGAGTAAAGTTTCAAAAGTCAAAGAGGATACTATAAATTGAAAAAATATTTCCCTCTATAAACCGAAATCGACCTCAAGATCTTGATACATATTCGAAGTGTTAAAAGGAACCATCTCCTAAGAGAAGTTCATGAAAAAATCCACTTAGCGGAAGTAGCAAGGGATCCCTAATATGTTTCTCCAAGAAGACAAGGTACGAATATATCTTGCGGCGGCACGACTTGAGTGTGTTTGTAGGAAATTTTTCTCTTTCCTGTGTGGTTTTGATTGTTTAATTGGGTATAAGATTTGTTTTGCATATATGTAACGAATTCTCTCGTAGTGCCGCTCGATAGGGTATTTTGAAACAAGACAGTAGATTATCTTGAGGGCATGGAACTGGGAGGTGCAGCAGTGGCAGATCATGTAGATGGTTTTGCCGTTTCCATAGGCGAGGAAGGAAGAGGGAATGGTGGTGGTTGAGGGAGGGGACATGGAAGTGAGGGCGGCGGTTGACAGAGATTTAGGGAGGCGGTACTAGCGCACCATAATTTTTGTTTATTTCAAATAATTGGAAAAGGGTTAATTACATGGTTGGTCACTGAAATTACAAAAAACGTTCATGTTTGGTCACTGAAAATATTTAAATCCAATCTTGGTCACTCAAATTAGTTAAATGGTTCAAGTTTGGTCACTCTCCATCCAACTCCGTTAAATATGTCTGATGTGGCAGTCAACCCTCAAAGTTGACCGTTAACTCGGTGACGTGGCAATTAAAAAATAATAAATAAAATAAATTTTAATCTTCTACCATTTCCAACTCATTTCAAAATAAAGTAAAATAAAAAAAATAAAAAAATAATTATAAATGGCTTCTACCCTTTGGTCACACGCCGCAATCCCCTCCGACAACAGAGAGAATTCCCCAAAATTCCAAGTCAAACCAACTTAAACAACAACAATGTCGACCCGCTACCTCCTCCTCCTCGCCCTCACCGCCTTCCTCCTCGCCTCCAATCCGGCTTCAGCCTCCTCCTCCGCCACCGACGATGACGACCTCACCTTCCTCGAAGACGACGGCTCCTCCTCCTCATCCCCCGCCCAACACTATCCCGATTCCGATCACTTCATCGATGACGAAGACTTTGCGGGCGAAGGCGGCGCCGATTTCGAGAACTACGACGATCTCGACGACGGCGGCGACTCCGATCTCGACGCCTACAAGCCACCCGAGGTCAACAAGAAGGATGTCGTCGTGTTGACCGACGGCAATTTCAGCGATTTCGTCAAGGACCGGAGGTTCGTGCTCGTCGAATTCTATGCTCCCTGGTGCGGCCACTGCCAGTCGCTCGCCCCCGAGTACGCGGCAGCGGCCACGGAGCTGAAGGACGAGAAGGATGTCGCGCTGGCTAAAGAGGACGCCACGGAGGAGAGCGAGCTGTCTCAGGAGCACGATGTGCAAGGGTTTCCCACTCTGTATTTCTTCGTGGACGGGGTTCGCAAGCCTTACCCTTGCCAGAGGACCAAGTCAGTGATCGATTTTTTTCTCTCGGCTCTGTGTTTTACTTTTAATTTTATCTGTTGAATTTGGTTGTTGAAGTTTTGGATTTCGTGTAGAGAGGCTATTGTTACGTGGATTAAGAAGATTGGACCTGGAATCTCTAATGTGATGTCCCAAAACTTACAGAGATGCGGATCAGGCGATCACGTTGATTGTATCGAACCCTTATTCAATCGATGGAAACGGGGCTTTTCCAGCCAAACACCCAATTCACTTCTCTTCCGCGTCTTCACTTTTCCACTTCCAATGAACGAAGCTATTCATTGAGGAATTTGTTCAAGCAGATGGTGGGCAGAAGGCAAGAAAAGGGAAAAAACAACAAAAGGAAACAGAAAGAAGGAAAAGTATATAGAGGGGAAAGAAAACAAAAGGAGCGTTTCAGTAAGCAGAGAAGGAAAAGAAAAGGAGAAAAAACTGCCATTGGATGATGCGGAGCAGATTTTGACTTCCGAGAGCAAAGTCGCCTTGGGTTACCTTAACTCCTTGGTGGTGAGTTTTTTTTCATTTCTCTAAGGATGAACCGCCGCCGATTCCTCCTCCGCCGGGGAACCCATAAGCCATTTTTATCCTTTTTTTCTCGCTCTGTTTCCTGTGGGGATTGCGGCGAAGCCATTTATAATAATTTTTGTTATTTTTTTATTTTACTTTATTGTGAAAATGAGTTGGAAATGGTAGAAGATTAAAATTTATTTTATTTATTATTTTTTAATTGCCACGTCACCGAGTTGACGGCCAAGTTTGAGGGTTGACTGCCACATCAGACATATTTAACGGAGTTGGACGGAGAGTGACCAAACTTGAACCATTTAACTAATTTGAGTGACCAAGATTGGATTTAAATATTTTCAGTGACCAAATATGAACGTTTTTTGTAATCTCAGTGACCAACCAGGCAATTAACCCAATTGGAAAATATGGTACAAAATAATGTATAAAGTTCAAATCAAAACAGAGGCAATGGTATTGACCATGAAACTTAATCATCAACCCATGAATTGAGCTAAAGTAATTCACATAGTTAATAGTTCAGGTCAGGATGAGGATTTTAAAAAATACGAATCAAAATAGACTATTAATATAAATTTTGGATCAAATTAAATTATCAACCCAAATAAATAAATAGAAGACAATTTCAGGCGTTGAAAACGCTAATCCAGTCTTAAATCTCCATGAGACAAGGAGAGGCTTGGGTGGGTCGTAGGGCTGCAAATGAGTCGAATTGTTCGCGAGCGGCTCGACGTTCGACTCGAGAAAAGCTCGTTCGAAACTCGACTCGTTAATAAACGAGTCAAACACGAGCTCACCTTTGTTCAGCTCGTGAAGCTCGCGAGCTAGCTCGACTCGGTGGCTTGTGGAGCTAATCTCGTGAGCTGGCTCGTTTAGAGCTCATGATATGTCTTAACATGTGGCTAGAGAGCCAACTCGATTACCAAGTTATGGACGAATCAATCTATATCTTATGATTTTAATTTCATATGGTTGTTAAATTATATATCTCACCATATATAAAGTTTAACACGTTGAGTATGTGAGCAAATATATTTTATTTCCTACTTTAAAAAGAAATTATGCATCATAGATTGCTTCGATACTATGAAATACATGATTTGGAGTAGTTAAAATTTATTAACTAAATGGTATATGATACCAACAAAGTAAAATATGAGATTAGCTAACAAAATAAATCATGTGTATACTTCGTTTATTATTTAATCTATATCAACATTATCAAAAAAAAAAAAAAAAAGTTAAGATTTTAATAAACAAGCTAGCTCGACTCGACTCGGCTCGTTAATAAACGAGCCGAGCTAAAACCGGGTAAAACTCGACTCGACTCGGCTCATTTGTAATCTAGTGGGTGAAAAGGGCTAGGTTATGTCTGCTTGTAATCATCATACACCGGCAAACCCAATGTCCAGCTTTTGAGCTTTGTGCTGACACGGCACAATGCGCAACATTTTCTGCATGTACACGTCGTTGAATCCAAGTAGGATAGAAATACCACCACAAGTGTAATTTCCGGTGGGAATCCTGCTTTCTCTGCATACGAATAATAAAGCAAAGCAACAGACCTCCTTTTCTACAAAGTGGAGGCACGAGTACAACCAGCAACACCAAAACAGAAACCCCAATTCCAAACGATTTTCCTAAAAAGCCCGGAGAGTCGCCGGAGGAGGAATGACAATGGAGCTCGCTGGCTGGCTCGACTTGCTCCTCCTCTTCTCCTTCTCCTCCTTCCTCTTCGTTCTGGCCGCCAAATTCCTCCGATCCAAACTCAAAACCTCCAATTTCAACCTGCCGCCTACCCCGCCGTCGCGTCCCGTCGTCGGCCACCTCCACCTGCTGAAATCCCCGCTCCACCGCGCCCTCCACGAGCTCTCCACAAAGTACGGAGACATCTTCTCCCTCCGATTCGGCACCCGGAAAGTCCTCGTAATTTCCTCCCCAAATCTCGTGGAGGAATGCTTCACCAAAAACGACGTCGTCTTCGCCAACCGTCCGGTTCTCATCGCCGGGAAGCACCTCAATTACAACAACACCACCATGGGGTTCTCGTCGTACGGCGACCACTGGCGCAATCTCAGGCGGCTGAGCACCGTCGAGCTCTTCTCCACCAGCCGGATTAATTCTTTCTCCGGGATCCGGGCCGACGAGGTCCGTTTGCTCCTGAAGAAGCTCTTCCTCGAATCGCGCGCGCAGCCGGCGGCGGCGGAGGTTAGGGTTAACCTGACGGAGAAGGTACTGGAGCTGGCGTTCAACGTCGTGATGCGGATAATCGCCGGGAAGCGGTACTACGGCGATGGTCGCGTGGATGAAGGGGCTAAGGAGTTTCAGGACATAATCAAGGAAATGGAGGCTCTTCGTGGAAGCTCGAATCTCAATGATTACATCCCGATTCTGCGGTGGGTGGATTACGGCGGCGTTGAGAAGAGGATGATTAAATTGGGGAAGAAGATGGATGGGTTCTTGCAGGTGCTGGTGGATGAGCAGGAGAGATTGAGAAACAGAGAGGGAATCGAATCGAAGCCCAATTTGGTCAATGTTCTGTTATCTCTCAGAGAAACGGACCCTGAATTTTACACCGATCAGACCATTAAAGGCATTATATCAGTAAGTTTTCCTATTTCTATATCTTTTTTCGATCGTAAATCATCTGATCGAATCAAATCCTTGTTTGATGATTAGTGTTGGGGATTTTATTTTCGATAGACGACGTTGACGGCGGGAACGCAAACTTCAGCAGCAACCTTAGAATGGGCAATGTCGCTTCTGCTGAACAATCCAAAGAAGCTAGAGAAGGCGTTCTTGGAGATGGAATCCGTCGTGGGATTAGAACGTATGTTCGAAGAATCAGACATTCCCAATCTGAGTTATCTGCACAGCATAATCAACGAATCCCACCGGCTCTTCCCGCCGGCGCCGCTGCTACTGCCGCACGTGTCGTCGGCGGATTGCAAGGTTGGCGGGTTCGACGTGGCGCGAGGGACGATGTTGTTGGTCAACACGTGGACCATGAACAGAGACCCCAGGTTTTGGCCAGAGGCAGAGGAATTCGTGCCGGAGAGATTTGAAGGCGGCGGCGGTGGTGGAGAAGGGGAAGGTTTCAAGTTGGTGCCGTTCGGCGCCGGGAGAAGGGCGTGTCCTGGAGCTGGGCTGGCAAAGAGGATTGTGGCGTTGACGTTGGGTGCTCTGATTCAGTCGTTTGAGTGGGAGAGGGTTGGTGGAGAGGAGATTGATATGAGAGAAGGTGCGGGGCTCAGCATGCCCAAGGCTTTGCCGTTGGAGGCGATTTGTAGGCCTCGGGAAGCCATGGTCAAGGTTCTGAGTTCGATTTGAGGCTGGGGAGGAAGGCATATGGGATGTAATCGAAGTTCAACATAAACGTGTAGATTGAAAAACAATAATGAAGCAAAGAAATAAATTATTCGAATCGACCTTTGCTACGGTGACATGCATTTTTCGGTCGACCTTATATAGGATTAGGTCGACCTAATATGTTGTTTCAGTGTAAAAATAGTTTCATGGTGCTTACTTTGGAGATTCATATCTTACAATTGGCTAGATGGACACTAAAAAAATGTATCAACGAGGGGAAATTTGAGAGGCTCAAATACGGTCACTACTGATAGTTTTTTTCTCACCTTCCGCGTTACTTTTGACAAAGGACTACATCTTCTCCTCGTTATTGGTATGAAATAACTGTCATCATTACTTAATGCTAATCAACGAGGGGCAAATGTGGTCGTTACTTGGTGGAACTTCAACTTTATTAATATACTAATAACTAGCTTATTACCCGGCCCGTTGGCCGGATTACTGTATGTTATCCACTTGTGGAATGGGAGAGAAAGCAAGTGAGAGTGAAGGAATTGAGATTCCACTTGATTAGGACCGACCCACTAATCTGATTCTTCCCGCCCCGCCCCAACCTAATTGTCAGAAAGAGTCAATAAGAAAATACGAACGGAGAGGATAAGTCATATATCTTGACTCTTCAGAAGTGGGTCAAACAGGATCAAGGTTGGGTGAGGGCAATTTTTAGCGCTAAGCAGAGTTCTGGGTTGAATAACTTTATTTGGGCCTAGAAATTGGTGCTGATGCAGACTGCAATTTTTATTATACCATCATTAATCATCATTGAATTAGTCCTGGGCATCCCTCCCCGTTAGGGATGGCAATTTCGACCTGACCCGTTTTACCCGACCTGTTTGACCTGTTTTGGGGCGGGTCCGACCCGCCCCGTAGGCGGGGCGGGGCGGGCATGGGTAGTCTCATCGACCCGACCTGCCCTGACCCACCCCATTCTCGACCCGTTTGTGTCTAAATTACATGAAATCTTAGTCAAATTACTTTGAATTTTACTTTTATCGCATCATATTTTAGCTATAATAAAGTTGTAAATTAGTGAAAACCTCAATTTCTCCAATAATTTAACTACAATTGTCATAATATTGTTTATTTTCTTAGTTTTATAATAAAAATAACGAAACTTTCTAATGTTTTTCAAATAAATTGCATACTCATTGGGTCGACCTGCCCCGACCCGCGACCCGTGATCAATTACCCGACCTGGACCCGCCCTGCAACGGGGCGGGTCTGGGTACCAAGAAACCCGCCCCGGACCTGCCCCATTGCCATTCCTACTCCCCGTTGTCGGTCTGAATTCTAATGATGGGTTCATTCCTTGCACCAGCCATATCAGCGAGTTGTCATCTCGAGCATGATTTGCCTATGTACAAATGATACAATTAGAGTATGAAACTGAATTCAAAGAAAAGGAAAAGAGAATTCTATCACATGCCAATAAATACACACATAATAGTTGATGCTAAGTGAAAGTCATTACTCGCACATCAATTCTGATGGACCCCGTATTTCACCACTCACTTTCCCTAGCTACACGTAGAGGTGAGGTGGATTAAGGATGCTTCTTGCCCATCATTCCCATTCACCTATTTATTTACACATGGGTATAGAAAAAAGTAAGTGCATTTATCCCTCACACTTATGTAACTCCATATGACCAAATTGGAGTGTAATTAAACTGCTTCCCTCAACTAACAACGTGGAGGGAAGTTGTTATTTGCTCACCCTCCAACCATATGAAGGAATATTACACACATGGATGGCACACTCTTCTCAAGGAAACAAGTGCAATTAACCCATTCAACAAGGTCAACAATTCCATCCACGTGGCTTTTGGGGAGAAAGACAAAGGATGCTCCTCTTGTCTTCCATTTCCCTAGCTCCACCAATCACCCTCTCAATTTCATGTAGAAAATATATTGTCTTGTTCCAATTATTTTGTTTGAGAAATAACCCACCTTATCAAGACAACAAACAATTGACAACCCATCTTTTTTATGACACATGGCAATGACCTATGAGTTGGATTAAGGATGCATGTGTGTATTTCCCCACCCAACTCAAGCAACCATAATCATTTTTACATTCATGAACACGTGGGAGAAGCCAAGCAATATTCATCCACTCTAGCTATGCTTTCCCCATGAGATACGTGGCCAAGGGAAGAATTTTCAGGAGCAAACCATCAATTGCACCAAGGTTGGTGGCGAGGTAAGTGTCTAATTGTTATTTTATTCTTCACGCGCCATCCACGCCAGATGCAGGAGGCACCTATAAATAGGACGCTCATTTATGCTTTCTCGGCGGTTCATTTTTGAGAATTTCTGCGATTACACGGATTATACCTATTTGCACCAATCCCTCTTTTCCATTATTGTTCACTAAATATAATATAAATAATAGTAGAATCTTTATTGCAGAGTAAAAAAAAAGGATTCTGTAGCTCTAGAATGTTTCAGTTTATGCTCCTACCTATTATCTGGATATACCACTTCCATAAGGTCGGGAAGGGATACCCTAGGAAAGTGCAGCTTACGTAATTCGGCAGTTCGTGGGAAAAGAAATGGGCGAGCCTCCAAGCTTCACTATATACCCGAGGAAGGCCTATTTATGGGAATGGCCGTTAGTGGGCATCCACCACTTTTCACCGGTTAGAGAGGCCCTCTTTAATACATTAAGAAAAGATGTTCACAGGGGGGGTTTCTTTCTAACCAATGTAGATCTAACGGCGGTTAGACGATACTGTTCAGATAATTGTCCAAAAGAGCTCCCGGTTAGTCTCCTCTCAAATACTGACTTGAGCTTCGGAGCAGGTCCCTGCCGACCACCGGCCGGCGGGTTCCTGTTTTGCAGGTGTCCATCTCGGAGGCTGACGGCGGCGGACGTTGGCCAAAGAAGACCGGCGCTCACCGGACCTCAACACACATTGAAGCAGGCTCCTCGGAGCTTGGCATCAACAATTGGCGCCCACCGTGGGGCCCGGTGAGATTAATACCAACAAGTCGTCAATCCAGCAAGACGAGGTGGATACACAGGATCTGCAACCCGAAGTCGGGATTCGTCAAGATGCAACTCCAAACATCAATTGAGTTGCTATCTCCAAGATTTGAGGATCCCAACGAGATGGACATGCATGATCTGCAACCCGAATAAGTGATTCGTCAAGATGCAACTTCAAACAACAATCAAGTTGCTATCTTCAAGAATTGTGATCCCAGCGAGATGGGCATGCAGGATATGCAACCCGAAGAAGGGATTCGTCAAGATACAACTCCAAACATCAATCAATTTGCTATCTCCAAGAATCGAGGATCTCTCGACCAAGATTGAGTTGTGTCAATCTTTGGTCCGGAACTGCGCGCCCTCAACCCCACTAGTTCCTCCGTTGATTTGCCTCGAAATCATACGATCCTCAAGTCCTCTCATGGAATGGCGCCCTGACATCAACAATTGGCACCTATAGTGGGCCTTGATGAAAAGTTCCATCAACAATTTGCGCTTGCAATGGAGCCCGGTGAAATTTTTTACAAATTATCATTGTCAACGTCAAACTCGCTAGGAGAGATGGGGGGAGAAATCTGATGTCGTGGAAGTCACAATGAGGCCGTGGGGGCACCGGTTTCGGTCCACCTCTCGTAAGACCTACGTTTTACCGAGGAAGCCCATGTGGTCTACTTTTTAAGTAGGCACACCTCCATCAATGAGGTCAAGGGTTCAATTCCCCGCGAATTGCTATTGTGAAAAAATATCCACTTTTTCACCCACACCACTCTGCCTCCCATCTCTTCCTAATCATGACGGGACAACTTTTGCATCATCATCACCAATCTGGCAGGAGAACCTCTTCCCTTCTCATGCTCCAATCAAGGAAAATCCAAGTATGAGAAAGTTTTTGTAAACTCAAAAACTATTTGGTAATCCCTTCTAACTCTCATATATACTTGATATCAAAATTCTCCTATGATGTTGCATAACCCAAACTATTGTCCTAATCCCTCATACACGGACAACACTAAACACACATCATAAGCCCGCAACGATTGGCATTTGTCGCTTGCCATGATTGGTTTGGGTCATCTACCATGATTGTCACGATTCACCATGGTGCCCACCACGACTGGTGCGGCCTGCCTGTCAAAATTGACACGGCTTTTCATGATCGCTTGACATGATGATATGGTCCATCAACCATGACTGGCATGACTCTCCAATAATTGCTCGCGCAATTTGTGTCGGCTATGCATGCCATGATTTAAGTCACTCACCTAGTGATCTAATTACCAATAGAAAACTCAGGTCTCAACCTTAATTTTTCTATTGGTAAGGGGGCAATTGATGGACCCCGTATTTCACCACTCACTTTCCCTAGCTACACGTAGAGGTGAGGTGGATTAAGGATGCTTCTTGCCCATCATTCCCATTCACCTATTTATTTACACATGGGTATAGAAAAAAGTAAGTGCATTTATCCCTCACACTTATGTAACTCCATATGACCAAATTGGAGTGTAATTAAACTGCTTCCCTCAACTAACAACGTGGAGGGAAGTTGTTATTTGCTCACCCTCCAACCATATGAAGGAATATTACACACATGGATGGCACACTCTTCTCAAGGAAACAAGTGCAATTAACCCATTCAACAAGGTCAACAATTCCATCCACGTGGCTTTTGGGGAGAAAGACAAAGGATGCTCCTCTTGTCTTCCATTTCCCTAGCTCCACCAATCACCCTCTCAATTTCATGTAGAAAATATATTGTCTTGTTCCAATTATTTTGTTTGAGAAATAACCCACCTTATCAAGACAACAAACAATTGACAACCCATCTTTTTTATGACACATGGCAATGACCTATGAGTTGGATTAAGGATGCATGTGTGTATTTCCCCACCCAACTCAAGCAACCATAATCATTTTTACATTCATGAACACGTGGGAGAAGCCAAGCAATATTCATCCACTCTAGCTATGCTTTCCCCATGAGATACGTGGCCAAGGGAAGAATTTTCAGGAGCAAACCATCAATTGCACCAAGGTTGGTGGCGAGGTAAGTGTCTAATTGTTATTTTATTCTTCACGCGCCATCCACGCCAGATGCAGGAGGCACCTATAAATAGGACGCTCATTTATGCTTTATCTGCAGTTCATTTTCAGAGA